TGAGTGGTGTATGATGAGTGGTGTATGATGAGTGGTGTATGATGAGTAGTGTATGATAAGTGGTGTATGATGAGTGGTGTACGATGAGTGGTGTATGATGAGTGGTGTACGATGAGTGGTGTATTGATGAGTGGTCTATGAACAGTTCTTGAATGTCCGTAACACGGAAGTTTCGTACACTAAACTTCCTTTGACTAGACTGTTAGCCACCCTAATCAACCTTCACTTTTTCAGCACAGGCGCTCAGCTAGGTCAATGTGAGTTTCGCTCAAACCATGCGGGTTCTTTTTGTAACTCCCAGAGTATTCTGACCTCTCGGTCGGTCGGTCGGTCGGCAGTGTGTTTGATGTTTGGGGATGAACATCACCTGGCCACGGACCTAAACTCTTCTGCCGTGCCGTTGCGACCGTCAAACCGAGACGGTCGTTCCGGCGGAGGAGATCATGGACCAACTGGTGGAGCTTCGCCATGAGGTTCAGACGGACGAAACTCACAGCCGCCTCATTCGCCAATGAACCTTGCAAGATTGCCATGATTTGGCACTGCCAAGTCACACTTGTAGTTCTCAGATGCATTTCTTCTCCGATGCTCCCTGGCATGTCATGATATTGCGAATGAATCATTTCCAAGCGCCAAATCTGTTTATCAACGCCTCATCCGGTCACCGGGACCTCGGTGGTGAGTGCATCGACAATGCCCACGGGTTGACCAACTCAGCACAGCGTGGTCACCGAGCGCATCGTAGGTGCTGTGGTCAAGTACCTTCCGGTCCTGGCGCGAGGAAGGGAGCGTGTTAGCAGCGACGTTCGCTCGGCTGCTTCCGAACAGAGTGAGGCGATAATATTTGTTGAAGAAACATGAGTGTAGAAGATTGTTGCTCCTTTGGAATAGGACCCACTTTCCCAACTGATCCACTTTGGGACCAGTGCATCCACTTGGGAGACCCATGGTCGCTGAATTTGATGACAGTACTCGTAGATGCAGGAGCTTCTGGGTCTAGTTATATATAATATATATAGATACACTGATATTTCATGATACATACATATGGTTTATGTAGGGCTGGCTTCCGCGTGTCACTTACATTCCATAATTGCAGGATTCATTTTCCTGCAGCGGACATTCTGTTCCTGTCTACATCGTTTTCATTGAGATGTTGTGTGGGGGGGCATCTGAAACTTGAAGGACGCAAAATACTGTCCGGACGCCATCTGGGCTACGGTCCATGTTGAAAACATGTTCGACAGACTCGCTAGGAGTTGCTCTGGAGCTTGAACCCTGGGATGATTGCCTGCAGCCCAAATGAAAAGAGGATCAGAAGTTGGGATGGCTCAAACAATTGCTTGCCATAGTTTACCA